ATGGCTATCGACACTCGTTTCAGTTTTCGTGAATTTTCTAGAATAAAGAAGCAAGTCTGGTCTAAAAAACTTTACCATGTTTCTAAGTTCGCTACAAGGTATCTCTGACCAAAATAAGAGGATGGTCATTTTTCGGTCAAAGTGTCCCCTCTTACGCAGTCTTGAAAAATAGACGTTCTTAAGTAGTAATCCCTCTATCACAAATTGGACCGTTTCATCTAGCTAGACCATTTTAAGCAGTGGGATCATTACATGCACCTGGACCATTCCAAGTGGTTGGACCACGTTATCTAGAAAGTCGTATTTTAACCGGTACAACAATGCATGTAGTTTGCCTATTTAAACAAATCGGTTCTTTTCAGCCAGTTGGACAAATTTCTTTAGTTGTTCCCAATCTCACAGTCGGACCATTTTCTCCAGTTACACCATTTAGTACCAGTTGCACCATTTAATGATGTTACAAAAATTTGACCAGTTGGATAATTTTAAGCACCTTCACTATTTCATTAAGACCTTTTTAAGTGGACAGACCACTGTAACCAGTTTGATCATTTTAACCTGTTAAATGATTTTAAGCGGTTGGACCAATTTCTCTATTTAGACCACTTCTAACACCTAGACCACTTTATCCAGTTAAGACATTTTTAATTGGTTGAACCATTTTATCTACCTATGAACCAATTTATTTACTTGGACCATTCTAGCTGGAACATTTTTACCGGTTAAACCATTTTATCTAGTTCCATATAAATCAGTTTAACCAATTAGAACATTTTAACCAGCTTTGAAATCCGTTACGGTGGCCACCGCCGCAGCACCACAGTTTGTTTGGAAACTTACCCCTTTACTAAAAAGATATATATCATTACACACACCTGTTTTCCAAAAACGTTGCCAGTTTGAAAATATATATTAAAAACGTATTTCCTTTCCTCGTCAAAGTGACTGGTTTTGATGAGAAGACAAAAGGTATATATGTTTAGTATATATTTTCAAATTTGCGACGTTCTTGAAAACAGGTATATGTATGATAGATATATACCCGTTTTCATAAAAGTTGCAATTTGAAAATATATATTGAAAAAATATACCTTTTAATTTCTTGTAAAAATGTCTTAAGAAGTAAGAGTGGCCTCTCCCTAGGAGCCTCTGTAGAGTGAGAAGCAAACCAAAGTTGACTGACCAGACTAACGGATACAGTCTCTGCCATAAAGCTTTAAAGACAGGCATTCGGCAGCCCACCCTAAAGTAGACTTGTCCATAAGCTCCACTAAGATGCTAGCCCTGCATTTCAGGCAGCTAGGCAGGAGATAGTGGCTTTCAACTAAAAAACTAACAAGGTGTTTGCAATGTCAATTGAGCCCCCTCCTCACACCAATGCTTTTGACCCTCAACCACCCTCCTGACTACCAATCCGGCAAAACAGGGCGCCACCGGGATGAGTAGAAAACTCCTTCCAGCCTAAGGGCCAATTCTAGCGGTCCAAAAACTACCCTCCCCACCCTTGAGCTTTAGGAAGAGAGCTGTTTGCTACCAACCCACGAATAGGTCATTGACTGGGCTAGATGCGCAGTTCTAACCTTGACGTTAAGCTCCCTACATTTTCATTGGACAGGGTAACTTGAGCGTGAGACTTGCAAAGAATCTAGCAAGCAAGTGTTTCCATGTCAATAGAACCCCCTCCCAAATACAATGTTTTTAACACTCGCCTTAAAATGTAACTTAATGGTCAGTGGAGTGCTTAAGCCAACAACTTGGTGGCCTTAGGGAATCCAGATGAATTATTTAACAGTCTATTGGTAGATTTGTAAAGTACCTTTGGACAAGTATAGTAATCTTTTAGAGCAAATTTCAAGCATGATATAAATTACCACATAGAACTGCTCATCCCTATATGGTACAATATTAGTTCTTGGTTTGTTTGCCAAAACTCTCTAGAAATTTCAATTATTTTAATTCTTATATCCAGGTATAATCTTTCGCTTTTTTCTGCAATAAACAGAACCTGAAAAGTAGTTAAAAATTTATTGAAAAATTTGTCGGTAAGTGACATCAATTTACAAGTTGTTCCTATTCACACAACATTATTAAGACTTCACAAGTATTAACTTGGCATTCTTCATTAACATCACTCAACTGATTCCCAAGAAGCACTTCTTCACTCTAAATTCGTTTCTGGAAAGAACAAATGGAGAAACAGCAAATAGGTGAGTAAGGCCAGAAAACAGCAGGACAAATTGAATTAAATAATAACTACTCTCAAAGCCTACAACAACAAAACACAAACTGCAAGTAGTATTGTTGCACCATCACAGTTTTATTAAGCACCCCGTTTGATCTCTTAAAATAATGAAAAACAAACAAATAAACAAAAACAACAACACTAAAATCTATCTTACAATAACTTTGTTGACAGTCAGTTGAGTACCTTTCCTGGTTTTCCTTTCTTTTTTTTCCCTTTTTTCTTGAGACCTGAGCCAAGCTTGTTAATTGCAGCAAAAGTTGAAGAATTTATTCTGTGTGATACATTTATTTTCATAGCATTCAATCCACCTAAAGTTTAACCAGAAATACAGATTCAGCTGAATAGCAAACAAACATTATACAAATTGCTTTTAACAGATTTGAATAAGGGAGATTAATAATACACTGTCTTGGTTGATGTACCCAGCAGTCATGCATGGGAACAACTATTGACCTCCTTTAAACCTCCTTTAAGTAAGATGAGCATTTCTGTTGATTTAATATATATTGTTGATTGCTGAAGGAAATCATGAAAAAATATTAAAATAGCTTGAATTTTTTTTCACACATTAAAGTTATTTGCTTCATGCACTCACAGATCCAATTAATGAAGTTCAGCCTGCTTATATCTCGCACTTTTTAAAATTTTTCCCCAAAGTTACTTAAACCTTTGATTTAAAGAGATTTATCATCAGAGCTAGAAAAGAATTCCCTTGCCCATAATCTCTGCCTTACTTGGAAGATTCATTTCAGGTTTGTAAAGTTGTATTTGATTAGCATGTGAACAGGCCCTCATTATTAGCACTTTAGCACCAGCATATTTTCCCCATAGAAAAGTATGAAGCTTTGAACCATGTGAGCCTGTGAAAGGTCTGCAAAAGGACCAGCCCTGATAATTATTACTTTGAGATCCCTGGAAAAATCATCTCCTTGACTTGTCTCAAATCTTCCTACAGACAGAAAAATGCGCATCTTGCAGTAGAGAGTTTAGAGCATCATTCAAGTTGGCTATAATGACATTTGACATAGGTTCATAGCCTGCTTTGCACCCTTAATGTAGTTTGTCACGCACATTGTCCTGCCTTTCTGGACTTCATTGGGTACCAATTTCTCTTGCTTATCTTGCTATGCTGCACAGCCAGAGGACACTAATATTTCTTTTACAATTATATTGTAATGAGACTTCCAATTCTACGTTTGGCTTTGCAAGGGGGGGGGGGGGGTGAAAACATTGTATGTGACCTAAAGAAAGTAAGAGCAGCAAACTGACTTGCATAATTCGTTTTTGGCACACATATCCAATTGAAAATTGGTGCCTGAAGTTCAACCATGCCATTTAATGTTGGTAAAGACAATAATTAGAACTGGAATGATGCCAGAGGTGGAAAAAGTGTAGGAGCAGAGAGCCCCAGAATGGCAAAATACACAGCCCACTTTACAGAAAGGTTTGATGCCATATTCTTAAAGAGCAATGTCTACTCTTTAATACAAGGTACTATGTGCAATTCATTTGTGGAGAAAAAGACGGATTTTATATAAGGTAAGTTCATGTGACAAGTCACATGATATTAAGAAAGCCTTTTTTGTTTTTTTTAAAAGGTCTAGGTAAGCACTCACGGTTTGATAATTTTATTGACTTTTGGTTGAGGGAGGTGGTTTTAAATGCTGGTTATGAATGGAGCCTTGCTTTCATAGCAAGCATCAGGTTCAGGTAACAGACTCCTGATATCTCCTTCCTTATACCATAAATGAATTGTAGAAAGTACCTCATATTAAAGAATATACATTTCTCTGTAAGAATATGGTATCAAACCTTTTTCTCTGAGGACGGTTGTGCATTTTTTCCACTTTTGGGTACCCTTACACTAAAAAGAGTGCTGTAATAGGGGGAATAATATTTCAAAGGTAATGAGGAGCCCATCTGAAAGTAAGGGATATTTTTGTCACTACAGTTACTGAAATGTCACCTCCCCCTATTTTCACTAACCTTCCTTTCTATCCATGAGAGCCTCGAGGATCTCTCTTCCACCCAGGTCACCAATAGCATTATCATCTAGATCGAGTTCTTGTAAGCTTTCAGAGTGTGTTATCAGTCTGCAAATCAATATGAGACAAAAAAAGAACTAGACTGTTCAATATACATAGCTGTGCTTTTCATTTTCTTTCCCCTTTATCCCCCTTTTATCTTTATGAGGAACTTACACATTCTTCAATAGAATGTGCAATATACTGTAGCAAACTTATGTTCCAATATCAGATCATACACATCAGATAATACTATTCCCTTTCCCACAATAAACTGAAATTTTACCAAAACAAAATCACAACATGCAAGTTGTGTGTGTGGTGCAGGTAAAAGTTTGGTCTTGATTGTGTTTCACAATTTCAAAATATCACATATTTTAGTCTCAATTTTTATTTATATTCTTTTCTATAATTCATCAAATATTTTTTCTTGCATGCAATTGGTCTAAATGTATCACATGACTGAATATGTGATGTGCCCCAAGTGATATTCCCCAATTTCAAAACACAAAGGCTTAAAGTTTGCATTCTCATAAGTAGAATATCATAGGAATCTCTAGGAGGTCACACATCTCCAATAATGCTTGAGACTATGTCCTTGCTCAAAGGAGTGGCAGAAATAAGGACAAATATAGCCTATAATTTAAGCAGATACTAGAAGATATGGGGGTTTCAGGCAAACCCATGGCATTCACAGATACTGTGATGAGATTGTTCCAATTTACTCTGTATGCTCTACTTGCCACCACTATATTGGATTGATTATGGTTTTGTTAACTGGGGTTTATCAGTTTAGATGGTTTTGCATGGGGTTTTCAGTTTTCAGCAATTTTTTTTGGACAGTTTTGTGGTTTTGAATGACTTTCCCTATGGTTTGTGGTTCCTAATAGTCCCTAATGTCCCACTCTTAAATCAGTATCATTATTATCATGCATATATGTCTCATATCTGTCAGAACTAACTAATTAAAGAGATCTTCATAAATGCATATTTATATTATGGTAACCGTGTAATTAACTGAACAAGTTGCACCTACTTTCTGAACATTTTCATACACATGACAGGCCCAAGAGTGGAACCCAGCCCATATGCATCAATGCCATTGTTCAGCAAGTGAAGTTTCTGAATCCAAGGGCCCACTGGTGGTGGGGGAGGAGGCTCTTTTTTCTTCCTTGCACTTTTCTTCTTTTTCCCTTTCTTTCCAATCTTGCCTGTAGAAGACATTTGAGACCTCGCACTAAAGGATAAAAGGTAAACTAAATTTGACATGTGACCACTTTGACCAATAACATGTCCATTTCAGTAAACTAATGTCCTTGTAAGTTTTCAGATACACCTTCTTAAACATTTAGTTTGACAAATCCTCAAACATTTGATGAAGATGGAATATCTCTTGAGCTCTAGGTTGTAGATAAATCATTAATTTGAAAGAATGATGCAGTTAATCAAAATTCTTGCCAACAACTTGGGCTATTCCAAATAAAATGAGTTCAAAAGGTTTCATGATGTGAGGATGTCATGCACAATCCAAAGAAGAGACATTACACATTTGAGGAAAAAGTGTAATGAATAAGGAAAGATACATAATTTGTTTGGAAAGTACACATCTTCACAGTTCCAAGCTGGGCCCAATTTTGTTTATCTCTATAATATATGATTTTGTTGCTTTGTTGCAGACACATTATCTTTAAGTGCCTAACTCATGGCCTAAAGGGTTAAAGAATACTGCAAACTTATGATTTCATTCACTAATACAAAAAGGCCTGATGGAGTTACAAAGGGTAAACACTTTATTTAGCTTAAATCTAGATGACTTCTTAGATAAATATATGCAGCCAACCTTCCAGGTTTGCTTCTAATGGCAACTGAAGATGTTGGTCTTGACACTGACGACATAGCTGATGCCACACTTGGTACAGTTAATGTATTTGATTCAGGAATTTTCCCTTCCTTTTTTTCAGCACGCTCAATAGCTTCCATTTCTGCTGTGTCGGCAAAGAGCTTTATAAGTTCGATCACCCCTTCACACTCCAGAAAATTGCCATCAAGATAGACATCTCTGAGTGAAAATACAAATTTTTTAAAAATGATATTCCATAAAATAAGCTACACTTGAGGTCTACTAGCCTTATTTTGGCTGTTGAAATTAACTGAATATAAAGTATCAAGTTACTTTCAAAAACACTTGATCAACTATAAAAACAACTCAAACCAGCAGAGTTTTGACCATTTTTGAGGAACAACATGAAAGTTAAAAAAGTGACCTCAAAGGTAAAAAAATGCACATTTTATTCCCCTGTTAAAGGTCATACATCCAGTTTGAAAATAATAATTTGTTTCTGCCACACCATGTGGTTAGCGCGTGTACTAATTGAAGATTAAATTTAACCATTTACAATTGAAATGCTGGCTACATTCATTTTTTTTCTGCAAAATAAGCTTGTACTAGGCAGTCTGTTAAGAATTGATTGAGCAGTGTGTGTGTGTCCCCTAAATATGTTTTCACCATAAGCAAGGAATCTCCTTTAACCATTCAAGCCAAGATGCACATTTATCTTATGAAGGCTGTTTATGTACTTTGTTTATAAAGTGGATTCCAAGAGCCTCTATAAAGTTTTCTATCAACCTTTTGCCCTGAATACATCAATATAAGATTGTTTCAGTACACAAAGTTACCTTATGGCTGTGTTGGAAATTGTTTTTCCAAGGAGCTCCCCACTTTGAGAACCAAGATTACAATAACATAGGCTGAGACGCAATAGTGTTTTATTACCATAGAGACCTCTACAAAGACCACTGCAGCCAGAGTCACCAAATCTGGAAGAGAGTAATGATCTGGAGTTTTGAGAATGAACTCAAAATAGTAAACTTGAAACATAACATAACAAAATGTTTGAAAATACGTTAATTTCTTATGCAGCTATGCTGGTCATTATTTTTCCATTTCTTGATATACAAAAATCAGTATGTACATGATTTGTTTCAGAATTCTTTGGCACTGATGTAATGCAATGTTTGTAAAAGAGGCTAGAGCCTGAAGGAAGGAGGCCTCAGAGTTGTTTGATTTTCAGCACAGGGTGCAATATTAATTTTATTAGGGTTTTGGAAATGGGCCACTAAAAAGCAAGCACTTGAATGCAGCAAAGTGCTAAACAGGGCTAGGGATAACCTTGTGAATATGGAAATAACAAACACCTGCAAATCATTTCACTGCACAACTAATAACTATATGTATTTTTGACTAGTATTTTTTTTTTTTACTATCTTCTTCCCATGCTACCTTGTTTCAGTTACTGATCACCCCAGGGAAGAAAAAAAAATTGGGGGCTTTTAGTCCATGGATTGCAGATCTTTTCTACTGCACGTTTCTATTCCTTTAATGATGTTCCAACAAGACATAGGTTATGAAGATTCAGTGGAAACAACATCACGCTCACAATTGGAGGCAGACAACCTCAAAGAGCCAGCTAATTAAACAAAGTTTTTTAACATCTTCAGTTTAATAGAACCTTCTATATCAACATTTATTTTTTAAGACCAGTGTAAAGAGGGCTGAAAGCCACTTGTAATGTTAATTTTATTCAATGAAATCAACCCACCTATAAAGAATCTCTGAGACACACTGCTTGTAAAAAAGTGTGGTTTGAGTTAGACCTTGGATAAATAACCAGCCCAAAGGTCAAAACTCCCTGATGCTGTTTGAAATTAAGCTGGGATTTATCAAATAAATGACCAGTCAGAAACACAGAACCATTTTTTTGCCTGACTAAGGAATCAGAGGTTCTGGTAATACTTTGCTTCTTAAAAAGCTCAAGGCAGCTGGATGAGTTAAAGCAATTTCTCTGGAAAGAGACCTAGACAGTTTTTCTTGTAAATTTTGAGTCTGATTTGATGGTTGGTGTCCACCACCTAAAAAAAGAGTCTGGAGATTGGGATGCAAATGACACAGACATTTTTGGAGTGCTCTATTGGAAAATAGGGGCCATAGGCAAACCACCAAATTGATTCCACTCTTTCAGACCCCTGCTAATAACACACAGAGTCCCACAAGGTGCAGTCCTTTCACCACTGCTTTTCTGCATCTACCTCAATGATCTACCCTCAGCTTCTGGCACTTGCAGCCTGGAGCCATATGTGGATGACTTGCATGTATTCCTGTCATTCCCGCTGGCAGAAGTTGATTCAGTGATTGAAAAGCTTGAATAAGACCTGCACAACGTGGCCTAATGGTGCTGTGCAAACATTAACTTACTAATAAATCTGAGCAAGACCAAGCTCTTCTTTATCGGAACTAGGCAGTTGATGAGTAAGATACCAGAAGTTCTCCAAGTGTCCTTTGTCACATTGCTGTACAAAGAACACTTTAGAACATTATTATAACCTTTTCTTAAAATGTAGCCTTGTTTTGTTTTGATTGTGTGATGATAAAATATCCTTTTGGCTAGCCACACAAAGAGTTATTTCAGTTTAGTTTCCTTTACGTCATAGAAGTATATTAGGCCTTTTTTCATGTGAACATTTTAGTTTTAAGGAGTTGTCCCTAGAGCAAAGAGGAGTTTTATGAGAGTCTTTCAGAGTTTTTTTTACAACTTGGAGTTCATCCCCGGAGCCAAGATCAGACGTAAGTCATGATCATTAGTTGTGTTTTCTGTTGTCAGATTTGTAGTTTAGCTCGTTTCCTTAGCTTAGACAGATCGTGTATTCCTTTTAGTTTTCACCACAAGTGTTGTAACAAGTAAGCTAGCCTGATTACATGATTTAGTCCAATAAATGTGTGTAAGAGTCTGCTGTCCATCCTGTACTTCACTGTGGTTGACCTTGTGGACCCAATTACACTGCACCCTGTGTCTGCCGTGCTGGGAACATGACATCCTTCCTTGGTTGAATACTACAACCAGCTACTTCAGCAAAGGACTTGGGAGTCATTCTGAACCCCACTTAACTTACAATCACCACATCACACATGTAGTCTTATCCTGCTTTTCTATACTATATCAGATAAGTCATGTTAAGAAGAGCTTAGACAAAGAAATTTCAAAACTACAAATAGCAACATTAGTTCTTAGTAATATGTTATATTGTTCCACTGTGTGATCAAACACATCAGCTGGGAATATCAGTAAGCTACAGTCAATCCAAAACTTTGCCAACAAGATAGTTATGACCTCTAAGAAATTTGACCATGTGGCTCCTTTGCTTTGCCAGTTGAACTGGCTACCCGTGAGGCAATTACTTTTATATAAGGATGCAGTAACGACATATAAATGTCTGCATGACCTTGCTCCACAACACCTGAGTGATTAGTTTATTAAATGCTCTAATATTCATGCTTGTTACACAAACAAAAGGGACTTGCTTCAGATTCCAATTTGTAAAACTGCCACAGGCCAATGTACTTTTACCAATAGAGCAACTAGCTTATGGAACAGTTTGGACAATTACATTAAGAATTGTACCTCCTTGAAATCTTTTAGGATCACCTTGAGGGAGTACCTCCACACAGTATGTTACCATAAACCTTCAGAGCTTGTTTAGTTGTAAATAATTACTATATATTTTTTCATTCTTAATATTATTATTTTATATCTTTATAAAATTGTAAATAGATTTTGAAAAACCTTTTGAACAACATCTATGAAAGTCAGATTTCCAACTCAGGTAAGCATTATTCTTTGCCTACTTACCTGCCCAGCAAGCAGCTCAGGAAATTGTTCATTTAATTGAGTTATGAAGAAAGTGCCAAAATTTTACATGACAAGGGATCTAAGGGGTGCAAAGGTTGCATAACATTAAACAGTCCTACAACAAAACTAGGTATGTTTATTTCAATTGTCTGCATCAATCATCAAAGTGTCAAATTTGGTTCTACATGAGTGATTGCCAACCGAACATGTCATGTTTTCTTTCCCTCTGATTAAATCCCTTGGCCTTTCAGTTGCCTTTTTTTTTTTTTTAAGAAGTAACCAGTAAATGTTGAGGTATGTTTTCAGAGACTGCAGCATCACAAGCTTAACTGTAAAACTCAGTTATTATAATTTGATTACCTCTACCAAGTTTGAAAGAGATCCTTATTTTTGAATTTCAACAGGTTTGTTGAATGCTTTCAATGCTTCCTTGAGGTTGTTGATTAATTTCACATCCACATGATTCCTGATGTTTTCCATGGTTTTTCCAAAGACCGCAGTGTTCATCAACTTGAGAAACTCTTTCTCAGATTCATTCTTGGTGTTCGTGTACAGCTTTGTGTTAAGCTTAATGTGTTTCTTCAACCAAGGCTCTTTTTTGAAGCTTATTCTTCTATGAATCTTTTTGATCCTTGAACCGAGATTGAGATACTGTTTCAGTGTTCTGTGACTAAGTATGTATTTCTCCTCATCATTCAGATTTTTAATAAGTTTTTCTACCCTATTAGTAATCAATCTCTCAGGAGCAAGTGGGAAGTTGTTATGCAAGTCATGAAGCTCTTTTGGATACTTGAGATCCACATCAAGAATGCAAGAAATTTCTCTCTAGTTGACAAGGTCAAAGACAGTCAAGCCTTCAGCTAGGTCTCAGAGCTGCATCCACTTTAAATTTCCAATGGGAAGAGGTTGGCACATGGCCCATCCATGAAAAATATTTGGATGGAGATAGGTGATGTATTTCATTGGCTTTGTTTCATCATAAGCTTCACCCATATATTTGTTGTTTGCAAACCCATTTGAGATCGTTGAGATTCCTTCCTTCTTAGTGCCCTCAACATGACTGGCATTATTTGTTAAAGCTGCTTTAGTATTGATTAATGCTAAACTTAAAAGTTCAAGAATTGACATGAAAATATCCTTACCACTAACAAACAGGTTAGGCCAATTAAGTTTTTAATGGCTCTCCACAATAGCCACCAAGGTTTCAAAATTAACAAAAAATAATATTTTTCCTTAACCAACATTCATGGCTAGGAGGTGATTTCATGTTGGATGTTTAGGACTTTTCTTCCATTCACTCCCAATAATGATGCCATCAGTTCTTAATTAATGTAAGTAATGTCTCTGCAGTTTAAAGGTTCTTACTTGTTATAATCAAGCACCAGAGCAGTCAGATTGCTCATACAAATGGACCTACAAACAACAAATAAAGTACTTTTATGAACTATTAACATGGTCAATATTTTTAGGATATTTATTCACCAACACATAATATAAATCAATGTTCATTTCTGATTAATTAAAAATACAATTTGATAAATTATAAAAACTGTTGCTATTTGAACAATAATCCCTAGAAAAATGTTTGCGTAACAACTTCTTTTTCCAAAAAAAATTTTTGCATAATGACTCTTGTTTGCATCTTCAAACAGAGAAAAATCTTGGAAAAAAAAAGTGCCTGTTCTTAGAGAACACCAACACATTACACCTTATTGGATGGTTTAACATCTACATGCAGGTGTTTACGGAGTTACGTTATATCCCCTAAAACATTGATTACATTGAGGGGTTATTATTCCACCAATTCTTCATCTCCTAGTATTTTAGAATGTTTTCATGCCCCTCTCCTAAAACGTGTCTCATCCTTTAAGTTCTACTTTGAATATCCTGAGAGAAACGTATAAATAATGGCTGCAAGCAACATTTAATTAACATTAAGGTAAAGCAAATGTTAAAAAATTGATAATTAGCAAAAGTTTGCTATAAAATGCTTAACTAATCTATATCAGTATGATATCAAGTGATGAATATTCAAATTACCTTGCTAGCCTGTCTACTCCATAGCTATTGATACCACACTCCAAAAGTTCCAGGTATTGAATGGGATAAATAGATTGCTCCAAAAGCAATGCCTGCATATGAAGTAGAAGCAACTGCAAGTTTACTTTCACATCTGTGGGAATAAATACCTTCAACTCTATAGATATTTTAATCTAAAAACTTAATGCTTAATCAAAACCATGTGTAGCTGATCCAACTCATCTTCAGTTATTATGTACCAGTGAACAAGCAGTATACTTGAAAAGAGAAGGATGTTATCAGTATTCTGTCACAAGCACAAGGCAAAGGAGATTTTAATTCCCCACAGCAAATTGTACTTCAGACCTTTGGATTCATTGCTTTAATGATCTACCATTAAACTACAGAGAACCTTACAATAATCTTTACTAAACGCAGGTTCATCTTTGATATGCATCCTGCATACTTCTGGGATAAGTAATGTTGAAAGTGTTGGGTCAGGAAAAAGAGTAAGAATAGTGGTAACAGTTTGCTTGGCTTGCGCATATATATCAGGCTGAATTAAGAAAGTTGTTGATAATTCTGGTAACATACAAGTATAAGACAAATGATATCAGGGTTTGCAGAGATTCCTACCCTTGGGGATAAAAGAACTTGAGAAACTATAGGACATTTCAGTGATGAATTTGTGAATAGAGAGAAAGATCATGTAAAAGGAGACAATACACCACTTTAGTCTTAATAGAGGAGCTGCAGATGTTTCTTTAGGCTGTTAAACTGTGAGCACACTTAGATGGATGACGGTGAAAACTATCTGTTTTGGAGGCTATTCATTTTCTTAAATCCAGTTAAAAACCATACTCTAAGACATTTGCAGACACATTGCTTAAAATGTTGACATGTTGCTCAAAATGAAGAAAAAGCTCAATCTGCTGTCAAATATGAACTGTCATAAAAAGATAAAGAGAAATTGTAAGTTTTGAGCTCAGTTAAGAAATTGACAAAGATGTTTTTTGACTTGTCACTAGCATGGGACAAAGAAAATATTCCAAGTCCCAACGAGGAATTGCACCTCAGACCTTTGGATTCTGTTCTCTGATGCCCTGCCAACCAGCAACAGAGGAATCAAACCTCAGACCCTCAGATTCTGGCTCCGATTCTCTGCCACTGAGCTACAGAGACTCTATGGTGAGCGAGGCCCATTACGAAGTTCATAATGCATGTGCTGCATACTGCTAGGATTATGGGGACTCAGAATATTTTCTTTGTCCAACACTTGTTACAAGACAAAAAACATCTTTCTCTATTGCTTTACCATGCAAGCTCAAAATTCTTTCTTATTCCATTTACAAACATGGTGCTTTCTGGCTGATCCTCGCAGTATACAGGATGCATGTCATATATGAACTTTGTAATGGGCCTTGCTCACCATAGAGTCTTGGTGGCTCAGTGGTAGAGAATTGGAGCCAGAACCTGAAGGTCTGAGGTTTGATTCCTCATTAGGACTCGATCACAATATTTTCTTTGTCCCATGCTCATGACAAGACAAAAAACATCTTTCTCTATGAACAATAATGCTGCTGAAATAAAGATATGCCACATTAGCCATGGGATTTTGGGTGTAATAACAGATGGACATGAAACTTACTGTTACAACCAAAACAATTGCCAAACTTTCAAAACTAAATCATTGGTATCTGGCTAGATGGCACCAAGGTTAGATTGCTCCCAGTTAGATTGCTCCAAACAAATGATTTTTAAAGTTTTTAGGAATAAATGATTGTGGAATAAATTATGTTATAGTCTGAAGTGTATTGAAAGAGATCAATCAGTGGCCTTTTTCGCTGTTTGATGTAAGGAAACTGATATCCACCATCTTTAATTAATAAAGCAGATTACACTTTGTGAGGCTCTTACATGAGGCTTTATTTGTTCTTTCTGCATAGTTCAGATTTATTTCAAGTGTGTGTGAGCAATATTAATCCATTGTTAGGTAAGATATGCACAACATTTAATGCACTATCAATTTAGATACCTTAGTTTTGCTACCTTTACCTTAGTTTTCTACATGGAGTGAACTAAATTATGTTAGGAGCAAAGTCACTTATTTGATGGAGCAATCTAACTTTTAATTGGTTGGAGCAATCTAACTGGGAGCGATCTAACCATGGTGTGATCTAACTGTAACTCATGTCATCAATAAGACAAAATGGTGGTTGGGTGTGGCAAAGCTTAGATTAAGGGCTGAAGTCATAAACCAATGATAATAGCCCCCAAAAGTCTGAGGGAATGAATATGTTGTTCGGTGTTTTTTTGGTCTTCTTTTTTTTTCATTCATATAATGAACATGGGTTGCTATAGTAGTTTGTGCTTTAATCATGTTTAACTTAGAACTTTCCCCTGAGATACAGTAAAAAGAACATTGAACAAACCAGCGTAGCAATATCCTCGTGTTTCATTGGTACATCCCAGATATAGATCTCTTTGACATGAACATATCGATTACTCCTTATAGCTGCCACAAGTGGTGAGACTTTTACAGGTATTTCATCTGTTGGACCTGGGGTTAAAATAAACTGTTGACAAACAAGAAAAGTAAGTCAACAGGGGAGGATTCATGCTTTACAAAGTCAGCCCTGTGAATCTGCCCAATGGACAACATTATGAAAAATTTTGTTTCTGAATTCAGTCCTGTGAAATACACTTACTTGTACCAACACTAACAAAATCCACCAATGAAAGCAAATGCAATATGCTGCTTAATAGCCACATTCAAATTATGCTTTACAAATATTTGTATTTTGTCCTTGAACTCTTAATCACTTGTGCATTTCTGTTCAATAAACTTTCTCCTGTATAGGGGAGAAAAAAAAACTATAATTTCCAAGAAAAAAAAAAAAACTATTTGGACCTTGCAGTGCAAGTAAAACACAATGCTATACTTTAAGTTCCATCACCCATCTAGCTGAGAAAATGTAGTCAAGGTGCACAGCACATTGTTCTGTTGGTAGGTCCTTGAGCACATGGAACCATATGGAGTATGTGTGACAAGCTGCTGCACTGCATGTGTAATTTGGGGTTGAAGCATAGGGGACTGTCAAAGTAGGCAAGGTGAATGATGTTTTTTTGTAATTTTTGTTCTTGATAATTACCAACACCTGTCTGTTACATGTATTTTATATTTACAAATAAAAAAATTGGCTGCTCCAACCAAAATAGAACCAGTTATCTGCTATTAATATTTGAAAGAAAACAATCATGCTGCTTTTCTATACTGTGGAATCATATCAATTATATACATAATGTTTAGAATATCTTGCCTAAATCCTGAATTTCACTCACTTCTGGTATTTGTATCCATGGTCTTTTAAAATAAATCAGGATGACTGAGTAACTGAAAAGGTTGACTTTCTTTCTAGTGACACCATTTCACTTTGTTACAAAAACATCCTTGATCTAATGTCACTTTATGACAAAACCTTGTGAGCAAGCTTCTCAGTAACAGGTAAAAGGAATGCAATATTAGAGGGGTTCACATTATGCACCTTATTAACTCTTACTAAACCACAACACCAGTGCCTTTCCTGCACCAACCTCTCAGTAGCACCTTACACACTTGCAGTAATTACCAAAAAGTAAGCAGGTATGTTTTTGTTTTACTCACCTTTGCCAAAAGAGAGTTACTTTCAGCATACTGGTTGATAAGTTTCTTCACATCTGGATGCACATAACTATTGAAATCCTTACATTTCACTTCATATTGGTGCCTGACTGACTTCAGAAGATCTGCAATACTCTGTAGACCCTTCAATCCTTTTTTGGCACTCTTCTTTCCTATTGCTTTTTTCTTAATTGCCTTTTTTCCCACTGGCATTGTATCTGTAGCAGCTGGAGATAATATAACAAAAAAAAATTGATTTAAGGATTTCAATTTCTAAGGTGCATGGTGCAATGTTTTGGTACTTTTTGTGCATACTAAACTATTAGCTTGAAAGTGAAAAGTACTATTCACTTAATTACCACAGGTATTCCTCTCCAAGCAGCTAATACACATTATAGTAGACAAAACTACACAAGAGACTAACTTATTACTGTTTTTCTGTATATCAACAGAAATTGTATTTCATGCTTGGTATATATAATTATCCAATTCAGTGTCAGTGAAAGTGACAGATAATTACCTCCCGTTGGTTGTACAATAGGCCATTTTTAATATATTAAAATTTCTAACTTGGTTCATGTGCATGTTTACATTCAACCGATCACTATTATATTCATTGCAGTTGATGGTACTGGACCATTCCTTCTCATCATGCAATTTTCTTGATACTATTGGCCATTTCATAATCTTTGAAAGGGTATTAATATCAAATATTATAATTATAACATACAGTGTATGTGCAAGGCATACCTATTTCCTAATGTAATTTCTGCAATTCAAATATATGACTTTCATACATTCACAGTCATTTATGCTCCATACTCTCATAAAGCATGTTACAATAAGGCAATCAGAATCCCTGTTAGAATGGTTTGAAAAAATCCGATTGGCTGTACAAGACTAACGCTGTCAAAAATATCAAACCATCACAGTTCAAAAACCATTAAAGTTCACATTCTCCAATAGTTTACAAACTTAATAGTTTGGCAGGTTGAATTTAACACTTTTGGCTGAAGTTTTTTAGTCTCCAATGCAGAATCTGAAAGTGAAATGTTCTGAAATGCTTAATTGTAACTCATAAAACACACAAGTTTTTTCAACATGACAATTAGAAAACAACCTGTTCAAGCATGTGTTTTATGAATGAATGACAGCTCAATTTACCAGATAGTGAAAATCGCTCAGCATGACAGCACCTTAAAATTTGGCTGCCATGACTGATGTGACCTTCCACTCATCGTGTAGGAAAAGATATCAGAGCTAGCTCTAAGTTGTTCTCTCGCAGGGTGGCCAATGTATTTCCGTGGCTTACTTGACTGCGATAACTGGAGATCACCATGATGAGCTAGCTGTGTTGGACCTCAGCATGCTTGTGGTCACTCTGACACCATCATGATTAGTATGAATTTTAACAGTCACACCAATTTGGCTTTATTTTCATCATTCCGGTTTTGTTCTGTTTTGTTTTGTTTTTTAACACAAAACTATGTACTACATGAGTGTTAGCTGTGTTTGATTTTTATTACCATCTGTAAACTTGCAATCTAATTGGGTGTGAAAACCTTCAAAACTTGGTCTGTCCAGTTCGTTTTCTCTTTGAGGATTTTTTGTCTCTGCTCTCATCATTCTTCAATTACAGCCCCTGGCATGTTTACTAATTGTTGTTTGGTTTGTCTGTTGCTATTTTCCAACTTGCCTGTTCCCAAATTTCACTTTCAATTGCAAAAAAAAAAAAAAAAACTAGAGAAAAGTCCTGGAAAAGGTTGGACATGGTGCAATTTGGCAGATGGCATGACAGCTTTAGCTAACCTCTATGCTCTCTACTCTGGTGGAGCTGGCTCTTTCAACCAATGACATCGCGCGTTATATCCCAACTTGATCATAAATATTAATAGGGCGTTACTGGCTAAGCCAGTAACCACATCAACGAACATTGCCGAACCTGATTCGAAAAACTGCCGATAACCTCCGGAAATAGTCAAATGTTCCGGACTCACTCACTTTCTTACAAATCACACCTGACAGAGCAATGTTGAAGAAACTTAATCACGCATTTGAATACACTAAGATGCCGTATACTACACATCCTTACTTTTGAGACTATTCCTACTTAGTTGTCATTTTCTGAAATGCAAGCTGATACGTACCTGGTGCTGGAAAACAAATTACATATCAAGTGGTACCTTGAAAGTTTAAATCGCAAGGTACTTTATCTCAGGTAACATCAGGTAAGAGAGGAGATACCAAAGTCTGCTTTGTTGGTGAAGTTCAACTTAATTTTGTGATACAGGAGACCGCAAGAGCCATAGCAGTTGTTTGTTGATTCTCGCTCATAGCAACTTGGCCGATAAAACCTGGACACTAAAGTAGACGTCATACATCCACAACAAAGATGGCGGACGAAGAGGTCGGATCAACACATTATGCAGAGGAAAGGTGGTCGTTGTTGAATTCGCTCAAATGTACGGTAGAAAATATTCTTATGTCCAATTTTGAAAATGGCAAAGTTACTACAGGTAGTTCTCCCCATGTTGAATTTGATTTGGAGCGCATTTTTGAGCATGGACTACGCAAAAATCAAGTAAGGATTTCCCTTTTATTTTTGTTGTTTCCTTATACGTTTCAGACGAAGATGCGTTTCAGATTCAAGCAAGTGTACATGAAAGACCATCTTTTGGGGTTAAAGATCACAAATTGGCTACAATTAGTTGCAAATTCATTGTAATTTCTGTGTTTGGTGATTTCTTCCTTCCTATAGTTGTAATTTTGTGTTCAATACACACTCAGACAAGGATATTTTTTAGCCAAAGAAAATACGTGTCTACATTCAATTCATTAGTAGTTAACAGAAGGAAAGAGAAAAACTGAGTATGGAAAGCTGAAATGAAGTGTTAATTTTTACAAGTAATCAAATGATGTTTCATGCAATTTGGAAACATGAGCTAGTTTACCTTTCTGAAGACTACAGGTGGCAGTCGCCCAGATTTATTCAATTTTGCAGTATTTTAAAAGTTTATGTATGCTTATTTATTTTAAGTTGTACTTGAAATCCATTAGTTGACTTTGTAGATGCTAATTTCCTAGAGTAATGAGAAGATCTATTCATAATATTACAATGAACCGTGTCTGTTGAGGCCTAATTTTTCATTGGTCTGTAGAATGTTCTTCAAAAAAGGAACAGTGTGTCATAAGCTTTGCTGTGTGTAATTGATATTGTATTTATTGACTTTCATCTTCTATTTATCAAAAGAGAACTGGTCAAGACAAGGGTGAGAGAAATACAATGGTTGTAGTTTCCCCATTTGATGAAAGTGTTCAAGGGGATCTCACTGATGCTATTGAAGACATATTAGAGAAATTCCATCAAGCTTTTCTTGGTTGCTCTCTGTCTGCCTCCAATTTGTCTCAGCTGGTTAACAACAGGAAAAAAATTCATTGCTTGTACCAAGGTGAGCTTAATTAAATGGTATCTGAAAAGGTGCACAGTGGAACATGTATTAAGTTGTCACCCATGGGGAATGGCAAGATGACTCAGTAGTTAGGAAACTGATTGTTTAATACAGGGTGATAGCTTAATAGGGTGCCACTTAATACAGGTTGGACTGAATTACTTAATGTGTTCTCCAATTTTCTTAAGTAAAAGAGTAACAAACTCTTCTATAAAACTTTTAAGTTATTTTTTTATGTCAAGTTGGACACAATTTAGGTTTTAGTTTTTATACAGTACCAAAGTCAGTTGTCTAAAAATATCCTTACCTTTTTCCTTTCTCCAAAACTTGCCTCTCTTTGTGAGTATTTAAAGCGTTTAAATGAATATATTTTACCTACAGGAAACAAACATGCAATGTTGCAGAGAGTTTTATTTATGGTTTTTTATATGTTATCTAGCTTCTTGAAATATTGGTTTTAGGGAAATTCAGCGCAGGATGACTCATTTTTTATTGATTGATAATTCATTAATGTTAATTAACATTGGTATTACATAACACATTAATTAACATCATCCAATTCTTTTCATGGGATGCTTCTATACTGGAGACACTTACCCTCGTTCTGAGTCTGCCTTCTGAAAGGACCTTCCACTACACTTAGTTGTCTAATGGAGGATTAGTCTAACTAATGGAGCTCTTAACTTTACTATGATTGTGATAGTTGATGATAGCATACAAATTGATACAAATTGAGGCAGTAATGGAAGTCAGTCTATGTTTGTTGACAAGTTCAATGAACTGAATTTTTTAGAGCAGTCTA